ATCAGAACAACTGATTCTTGGATGAAGCAAACAGGAATTATTAACTGAACAGAAAAGAACGATTATTTTAAAATTAATATCCTATGAGAGATTTGAGAAGACACTGCATCCATTAATAGGTTGTTGGTTTGTATTGTTGCTTTCTTAAGAGGTACACTCAAAAAGTAGGAAGAATTCTTAGAAGTCAAATCTGTGATTACTAAAACAAAAGCTCTTTAGCATGACAGGAAGAAAAACTGGAGAAATTTTTCAAAGCATAGAAAGAGAAAAAGAAATTTTAAAAAGAAAATTTAAAAAGAGACAAATTGAGAAGGATGGTCAATTCAGAGTCCAACAGCAATCTAAACAAAGTCCTGGAGAAATAGAATTTCAAAATTGGAGGGGAAAAATGAAAAGGTAATATATGAAAGTTAGTATATAATATATTAAAAGGGTAAGGTTAAAAAAAAAAGTACTTAGGTTGAGAGTGTAGAACCCATCAAACGTAAACAGCCTCTCATGAAACTTCAGGACATCAAGAATAAAGAGGAGAGCCTGGCGGGCGTGGCGCAGTGGTTGAACGTCTACCTAGGAACCAGGAGGTCATGGTTTGATTCCCAGTCAGGGCACATGCCCGGGTTGCAGGCTCAGTCCCAGTGTGAGGCGTGCAGGAGGTAGCCGATCAATGATTCTCATCAATAATCTCTCTCTCTCTCTCTCTCTCTCTCTCTCTCTCTCTCTCTCTCTCTCTCTCTCTCTCTCTCTCTCTCTCTCTGTCTGTCTCTCTCTTCTTTCCTCTCTGAAATCAATAAAAATATATATTTTAAAAAATGAATACAGAAGACAAAAGCTTCTAGAGAGAATAACAAGGAATGAGGAAGTCCTAATTCGATAGCTCAGGATGCAGGAGAACAATGTAGTGACATCTTCAGAATGAAAAAAAAAATCTTTTGTGAGCCTAGCATTCCATATTCAGATGAACATTTTCAGAAAGCAAAGACGTAGAGACTTTATCTACTGCTGCATTTTCTGAAATTTTTATTTGAGGATGTTCTCTAGATCCAAGAAATTTGGGAGCCCTGATTCTCTCATCTTACACAAGAGGCATCAAGATGTCGAGTCTAAAATGGATGGCAGATCATTTTTAGGTATAAAGGTAACCAACAGAAGAACTGAAAATAATCATACAAAATTAAAAAACTGAGAGGAAGAGGAAGAAAGAAAAAGGAAGCTGAGAATTGGGTCAATGAGAGCAGAAATATATATATACATATTTGATAGGTCAAGAAATACAGGTATAAGTATATTATTTGCAGATATGGAGGTAGCCATCAAAATAATTTTAAATGGCCTGGACAATAGGACTGGGAAGTAGTGGAAAATTAACTATTTTAACCATTTTAAAGTATGCAATTCAGTGAGAGACTCTTTTCTTTTTAAGAGAGTGGAAGGAAACATACCAAAATGTTAATAAGAGCATATCAGAGTGATACAATTGCGAATAGATTTTTAGGATGACAAACTTCCAATTTCCCAAACTTTCTACAATAACCATGCATTATTTTTATAATCAGAAACATATACACACTTTGCTTATTTAGGACCAGGGAAATCTTGCAGTTTAATGATTACCAAGTCCTTAATAGTCTTTGCCCTTGATCTCTAATTTATTGGAGGAACTTCAATTTGAGTTTACTAAACTCAAAGATTTAGCCGAAGTTGACTTCCCTGGAACAACTTCCACAAACTTACCTTTGATCTCGCTTCTGAAACTTTTCAGCACAAGCTAGGCAATCTTCTTTGTTATACTTTTGCAAATACTTGAAGATGATTCCCACGTCTCATTGGCTCAACACAAGTTCATTTTTTGCTATACATCTTTCTCACACCTCAGCACTTTCACAACCGCCAGAACCAGATTTCTCTTCTGTTCTCCTAGAACTATGACATCATTCATTCACTCACTCATTTTGTAATTCAATTCATTCAATTAACTATGCATCAAGTCCTTTCCAGTACGGATGCACCTTTAAACAAATAAATTTCCAGAGTCTCTCACCCGCTTGGTCAAGCAAATGAACTTACTTCAGGCGAGGTAAACACTGCACTAGTGACTGAACAAGAATGGCAGTAACAGCTATTCAGGAAAGTGGGAGGGGAACCAAAAGCCCAAAGGTAGATAGAAGAAGCAGCAGAAAAATAAAATCGAGTGGAGGAGTGAGTTAAGAAGATACTTGTAGAAGAGAAGTTTTATTTTGTGAGGAATTATACTTCTGACTTTTTTCAGAGAAAAACTAATTATTTTGAAATTTTTAAGAGAAAGCTAACCTGTGTCTTCATCCTCAAAATAGAGGACAAAAAAAAGTGAAGTATAAATTATAAATGGAGCTCCTAAGACTGTGAGCAAGGGCAAGGGGATTATTTGCTACAGGGGGAGAAAAAGCAAATACATTGCTTTTCTCTTTCTCCATAGAGATTTGTGTTTATAAAAGTTAAACAAAACGTGATATATTCAAACAGTGAGCTATTATTCAGCCATAAAAGGGAATGAAGTGCTGATAAATGCTACCACATAGATGAACCTTGAGAACCTAGGCAAGTAAAAGAAGCCAATCATAACAGACCACATAGGATTCCATTTAGATGAAACTAGAGGCCTGGGGCACAAAATTCATGCCTGGGTGGGTCTCCTCAGCCTAGCCTGCACACTCTCCAATCCGGGATCCCTCGGGGGATGTCTGAAACCGTCAGTCGGACATCCCTCTCACAATCCTGGACTGCTGGCTCCTAATCGCTCACCTGCCTTCCTGCCAGGTCACCCCCAACTGCCCCCTTTCTGTCAGCCTGGTCACTCCTAACTGCCCCCGTCCGCCGGCCTGGTCACCGCCAACTGCTGCCCCCCCGCTCCGCCGACCTGGTCACCCTACACAGCCTGCTGTTTAGTCGTTTGGACATCCCTCACTAACCCCCCTGCTGGCCTGGTCATAGGCAGCCATCTTGTGAGGGTGTGAGGGTCAATTTGCATATTACCTCTTTATTATATAGGAGGATGTCTAAACTAGAGACAGAAAATAGATTAGCCATTACTTAGAGCTAAGGGGGACAAGGAGATAGGGGGGTTCTTTTTGAGAGAATGAAAATGTTCTAAAATTGACTGTGGTAATGATTGCACCTATCTGTGATATACTTAAAAATAGAATTGTATTTAAATGGGAGAATTATATGGTAATGTGAATTATATCTCAAGAAAGCTGTTTTTTAAAACGTTAATTAAAAGCTATCACTAGGATGGGATACCGATTTACTCACTACCCAGGCTTTCCTTAGATACTCCAGAAAACGGCAGGATCCCCCTAAGTTGACTGACAGCATAGAGCACGAGCAGAGCAAACGTTGTGGACCCTTTGACAATCCAACAGGGAGTCATGGCCAGCCATGACAGTTACCTCCTGTGCTACGTCAAGGCTGAGGCAATTGGTGTAATGGGAACACCTTCAGGAGGAGCCCAAACCACAAGTCTGGACTGTTGAATAAGGGCTCCATCTGGACACCAATATGAGAGGAACTTCCACCTTTGGTGGGCTACAAGAACTCAGAGCTCCAACTGCCCCACCCAATAACGGAGCTTGGCTGTGCCATGGGCCACACTTGGTGCCACCTGGCTTGAGACCGACGCCTGCAGATGCCGTCAGTGACAGGTACTTCCCACCAGCGCTGGCTCTGATGGCTTGTACCCCATCAGTTCCCCCCTCTCTGTGTGCAACCTGCTTGTGACTCTGTTGGCTTACTGGGGAGGTTTCCCCCAATACACCTGGCATTACAGAAAGAGACAAACATGGGATGACTCCTTTCGGGATGCGCCCTTGCTCATGACCAAAAAGCTGGCTCTGGCCAAAAGCTGAGTCATTCCCGAGAGTATTGAAGCATGTTGTTTGATGTTCAGAGTCTAAAGCTCTCTTGCCTCTCCAGTGCATTTAATACCAACACCCAACAAATGCCCCCTGAGTGCTAGTTCCTGTGCTGAGCACTCAAAACAACAGGGCAGACCGTGACCCTGCCCCAGGCTCCCAGACACTGTTCTTTTCCAACCAGATCCCTCCAAAACTCCCACCAGCCCCATCTCAGAGCATCAGTGCAAATCCCACTTCCTTCGGCCAAGTTCCTTTTTACTTCTTTGTAGACTGCAGGCAGCCTGAGATCATTGGTGTGCATGCCCATAGAACTCCGAGTCTAATTTGCCTTTCTAAAACCCCGCTGAAAGATCAGGATGGATGGGGGGAAACCAGTGAAAAGATGGTGGATTTTCCAAGGTAGCAACCTCCACTGAGGGTCTTTCATTTCCCACAAGAAACTCCCTGCATTCATCAGTGCAGCTGGCTCCTGAGGGGCTGCTCCCTCATTCTTCCCGGGCTCTCTCCTGCCTGCCCTGTCCTTTCCATTATTTCCCCATTCAGGCATGTCACTATAAGCACTCACCCTTCCTCCCTCTCTGTGAGTGATCATCTAGATGTATGGAAGACTGGGAGAATGAAAGCCCTATTTCAGACCCAAGTTTGGGGAGATGAGCGATGATGGCTGGATTGCCTGAATCGAGAGGACAGAGGCCACATCATATAGTTCATTTTCACCTCATTGTAGGTGCCAACTGAATTACAGTCTCCTGCTCTAGAACAGCTTACAGATAGGAAGTCCCATGTTCCCTTCTCAAATACTAAAAAGACAAAACTACATATTTTACTGATTTGGTACCCACTATTGGTGTTCAGGGTGTCCGCTCCCCAGAAGATTTCTAAGACACTATTCTTTTGCAAAATTCAAAATCACCTTAACTAAGCAATATAGCAAGGGACCAGGGAGGCATAAGGCAGGTGGAGAGAGGGACGCTCACAGAACATGTCTCTACCTAAGTCAACAGCACCTGGGAAGGCTGGTTAAAGACAGTGAAGGAGACACTTAAACCACCAAGAAAATGTCTCTATGGTGCACCAAGGAATTAGTTAGAAAATACTTGGGTTCCATACCTGCTTCGCAAGGTAGAGTTTGGTTATAGAAGATTTCTTGTTCCTGGATCTGTACACATGTAGAAGTTGCCAAGGGGCCAGGAGCCAAAGGAAGCCCAAGGGAATCCATACCAGAACAGTTTGCTCAAAGCAAAGTGGCAGGTCCGCCTCCGGGCTGTCCAGCAATGAGGAATTCTGGGGGACCAAAATGTAAGGATTGTTGGTTACATGAGTTTGAAGAGAGAGACCAGCCCTAGCCCACACCCTCCACCCCAACCCGTTTCCAAACAAGTTTAACTAAGTTATATATCTACATCCAGCCTGACCCTTGTGCTGTATTTTTCTATTCATCTCCATTGATACAAATTCACAATTTGCCAAAACCGGTTTGGCTCAGTGGATAGAGCGTTGGCCTGCGGACTGAAAGGTCCCAGGTTCGATTCCGGTCAAGGGCATGTACCTGGGTTGCGGGCACATCCCCAGTAGGAGATGTGCAGGAGGCGGCTGATCGATGTTTCTAACTCTCTATCTCTCTCCCTTCCTTTCTGTAAAAAATCAATAAGATACATTTTTTAAAAATTCACAATTTAATGACATTTAGTGACTTTTTTGGCCAATGCAACCTTTAAAGACCTTTCTTCCTGTGATTCTCAGTGAATCTTCCCACCAGTCATTGAGTAAACTTCGCCAATGCATTTGCCAAGTTGTGGGAAGAAGAGGGACCTTCCTCCAATCCAAATGGGGAGGATAGTTCCTTGGGATATAAAAACTTTTTCTTATTCTAGTCTTTAGCACCGAATGAACTCACTGTCAGACACTCAAATATGCAGCAGGCAGAATGCTTAGTCATGCTCTGACATTTAGACTCCAGAGAGCTTCTGTCAGAGCCCAAGGGCTTATGTCAGAAAGCCAGGGGGCATCAGCACAGGAGCACAATAAAACTGTTGAACAGAAGGCTTATTCCCAGCAAGTTCTGTACTGGTCTTTGCATTCTGCAATAATGAGAAGTGTCTTGTGAGCTGAGGGTAGGGGTGGGCACTAGTTCTTATATTTGAGTCATGTGAGAATAGATTTTTCTCTCCCAATAAATATTTTTGAATTGTTTTGTATGGCTGTTTGAACAGATTCTCTAAAGAAAAGGTTAAGGTGCCCTGATCAAGATTATCTGCCAGATAACTCTTAGAAAGAATTCTCAAGGGTTGGCTATTAAGCCCCACCTTCCTGAGGTATTTGGTTTCTGGTCTTGGGGCCTATGTTCTTTCTAAGACTGGGAAGTGCTGCCCAGGTGCTCTGCTATCTCACTTCTGCTCTTCTTATCTCTCCATAAGGTTACCTAACTTTAGAATCAAGAAGACGTAGCTAAGATATTTAAACTACTTTAACATTCTAGGTAATTCTGATGATGATGCTAGGAGATTGTAGACCACATTTTCTTAATATCACTAAATCCAAAGTCCCTTCTCATTCCCTCTTCCATTAAACCATTTGTTTTTGTTGCTCACACTGTTTATCTCAAAATTCTCTGCTCTAATATTTCAAAAAATTGTCTCAGTGCTCATAATACCCAGATTTGCATCCTTATCTTCAACTTCCAGTCCACATCACTAATCGCCAGTTACTCTAGTACATAGCATTATTGTTTCATCACCGGCATATCTCAACAGGACTCAGTCATGGACCTCCTACCCCACAAATTACACAATTCCTACTCTTAACATTGATGAAATTAGAAGCCATTTCCCTATTTCTCTTTAGAGAGGCAATTTTGAAGATAGCTTGTCCAAGAAAAGAGTCTGGGATACAATAAACATATGCTATAAAATAAATATATTACTCCCCAAATGATGTGGCTCAGTGATTGAGCATCGACCTATGAACCAGGAGGTCACAGTTCGATTCCTGGTCAGGGCACATGCCTGGGTTGCAAGCTCTGTCCCCAGTGTGGGTGTGCAGGAGGCAGCCGATCAATGATTCTCTCTCATCATTGATGTTTCTAATCTCTCTCTCCCTCTCCCTTCCTCTCTGAAATGAATTTTTTAAAAAAGTATTTTTTTAAATTTAAAAGTAAGTAAGTAAATATATTACTTCTCCCACATAGAATATCATCTGGCGATATTATGACATTCTTTTATTTAAAAAAAAATACCCTGAGCTTTAGATCAACTGCATATCTAACTTTTCTGGTTCTTGTGGCCACTCTAGGCTAATCTATGGCTTGTTCTGGTTTGAGAAGAAGTTAAGTGTAATTTCTTACCCAAAAGGTAGAGTTGCAGAACTTCTCCAGCATGATTCCTGGAGCTCTTTTGAGATGAAGACTCCTGGATCACTGCTGTTTCTTACTCACTCTTTTCCTCAGAGAAGGTGGAAGGTGAGTAGTGATGTGTCATCTCCCATTCTGATGTTACAACTCAAGGCAATTCTCCTGACCTTTCATCCCAATGATTTAATCGTTAACCTTGCTTGGAGGTATGTTTACATGATCCCAGTGGATAGACATGTGACCGCGGGGACCCGGGGACACAGATTCACCAGTTCACACAAGCACCAGAAGCCTCTGTAGGTGTGAGCATATGCAAAAGGAACTACTGCCCAGCTGGCGTGACCCAGTGGTTGAGCGTCGACCTACGAATCAGGGGGTCATGCTTCCATTCCCAATCAGGGCACATGCCCGGGTTGCTGGCTCATCCCCCAGTGTGGGGTGTGCAGGATGCAGCTGATCAATGTTTCTCTCTCATCACTGATGCTTCTATCTCTTGCTCCCTCTCCCTTCCTCTCTAAAATCAATAAAAATACATTAAAAAATAAAAAATAAAAGGAACTACTGAAAGATATTTTCAAAGAATATTTGACTTAAAGATATACTTGAAATAGAAAAATGAGTAAGAACAAGATATACAATTGTATTGATAATTTTGTAGAGTAATTTGTATCCATATTATAAGTGTTAGAAGGAAATACACACAAAATATAGGAGCTGCCCCCAGTGGTCAGTGCACTCCCACAGGGGGAGCGCCGCTCAGCCAGAAGCTGGGTTCACAGCTGGCGAGCGCAGCGGCGGTGGCAGGAGTCTTTCCCGCCTCTGCTGCAGGCAGGCGGTAAGAAGCAAGGGGTCTGGGACTGTGAGAGCCCCAGACTGCGAGAGGCATGTCTGTCTGCCAACCTGGGAATTGGGCCTAAGCCAGCAGGCAGACATCCCCCAAGGGGTCCTGGACTGCAAGAAGGTGCAGGCCGGGCTGAGGGACTCTCCCCTTCCCCCCTCCACGCACGAATCTCGTGCACTGGGCCTCTAGTATATATAATAATATTTTTAAAGCAAATTTTTGTATTGTGGTAAAAAACATAGCACATGACATAAAATTTACCATCCTAACCATTTCTAAGTGTACAGTTCAGTAGTACTAAATATATTCACATTGCTGTGCAACCAATCTCCAGAACTTTTTCATCTTGCAAAACTGAAACTCAATGCCCATTAGACAACTCCTCCTTGCTCTCTTCCCCTAGTAAAGCAAGTATTCTTTTAAAATCAGGACACCTGCCCTAACCGGTTTGGCTCAGTGGATAGAGCATTGGCCTACAGACTCAAGGGTCCCAGGTTCGATTCCAGTCAAGGGCATGTACCTTGGTTGTGGGCACATCCCCAGTAGGGAGTGTGCAGGAGGCAGCTGATTGATGTTTCTCTCTCATCAATGTTTCTAAATCCTTCTCCCTCTCCCTTCCTCTCTGTAAAAAATCAATAAAATATATTTAAAAAAATAAAATAAAATAAAATCAGGACCTCCTACACTAGCAGTACACTTGCTGCCAACATATTAAAGGGCAAACACCATCATTTGGAGGATCATGTGAAACCATTTTGGTTGGCAACACAAACAAAAAAGCCACTTCTGTGTTGTGTGGGTATATACAGACTGTAGTATCTACAGAGATTAACAAGAAAATAAAATATATTTTAATGTACACATACATACACATATATTCTAATGTATACTTAATACCTGGCCCAAGTATTAAGTAATGTATACTTAATACCTCTGGTTATCTTAAATTCACAAATAATAAAAATATTTACCACTAGTACCAGTGGCTATGTTCTGGGTTATTAATATTGAACGATATATAAATGTTATTAGGACATTTATTCAGTTATTGTCCCATAGATGGACTTCCATCCTTTTCTGTGTGCCTAAAACAGGATTAAGATGATTTAGGATAAAGGCATGATCAGAGTTCACTGGCTTTGGTACAGACCTCTGATCATACCAACAGAAGCAAGCTGGAAAGATGACAATTATAAATGTTTAAAAATCCATCAGTGAAGACAGAAAGAATCCTAAATGAGGCAAAGCGGGGGGTGATTTGGCCCATAAGCCAGGTCCAGTTTGACCCCTGTTTTCAACTGACCCTTGTTTTTACATTTTTTAACTATAAAACTCAACATGAACAGTCTGTCCATAAGGACTCTTCAATTGGACTCTTGGCCCACAAAACCCCACATATTTACTATATGACCTTTAAAGAATAAGTTTGCTAACCCCTAAACTAAACTCCAGAAATGACAAGACCTTCTAAGATAGAAGAGAGCCATAGGATCGTTCATCTCTGTCTGAACTAGAGCAGGAGGGGAGGCCTCCCGCAAATGGCTCAGGAGAAACCAGCCTAACTGCTAAATACCACAAATGGCTCAGGAGAAACCAGCCTAACTGCTAACGAATCTTTCAGGGCCATGTGTGGGGCTGGCATCTAAAAGAGCCCAGAAACAGTCACACTGCACTGTCCCCAACTCTTTGTCACACTGGTCTTCACCAACTGCTGAGATTCACACTACAAAATGGGAGGGAACAGTTAAGAGAACTGAGAGAAAACTCCCTATGCACTCTAAGCTTTCACCTCTGGAAGACTTAAAAACAGCTAACAGAAACCCCGCCCATGCAATTCCACCTTCACAGAGAGTAAGGCAGCCCATTCGTCCTTGGAATGGCTGAGGGAAGCAGCGGGCAGAAGGGGTGATATCTCCACAACAACCCAGAGAATTTCATCAAGAATTTTCCCACCTAAGACTTACCATCAAAGTATGCAGCCTGAGGGTGCACCTTGTCCCAGCTTAGATCCCGCAGGTCCACAGCTCACCTTCCCGGGCTCATCTGGTAAGTGGTACAGACAGTGATTAAGTTTTTGGCTCTTACAAGCCAAGTCATTTTCAGATTTGCATTTATTCAGTATTCTTCCCCTCTGGCGTCAGTGATGTAGGATTTTGGTTCTCTGACCATCGGTGGTGATTTCTGCCAGGTGGTTGGCTTTCTTTCTTTCTTTTTTTCTTTCTTTCTTCTTTTTTTTTATTGTCTAAAGTTTTCAGGTGGCTTTCAATAAAAATCCATTCGTTGACAGGTGGCAGATACCAGGAAAAACTAGTTTGTTAACCTTGTTTGTTTTTGTCTGTTTGTCTTGAAGATTCTGGTATTTCCTGGTATTTATAATTGCAAGTTTGAGAAGTTAATACCATGTGCTTCTGGCCAGCGATAGAATGCACTGTGTACAATTGCTTTGTATGTGCACCCATATGTGTTCCTATTATTCTAAATATCAGAGCCTTCTTCCTCCCTCTAAACATCCATGTTTTTTTCATGTTTACCCATTTGTTGTAAATATTTGAAAAATGGAATTCTTATACCAGGGAATGATGAAAATATACAGTAGGTCTCTATAGGAACTTTTGACTTTAATAAAGGACAGTATGTTAGGGGAGCCTTAAAACAGACAGGAACAAAATCCGTAACAGACAGGGGTCAGCTTTTTTGATTAGCATACTAAAGTCTTTAAATGAACCCAATGAACATCACGAAAAACAAAAGCATACAGCAAGCAGTGGTCCAATTACTTTCTCATATGATTATGTTTTTTGGGACTTTTATTTGTTTTTAAGATTTTAAAATTGATTTTTAGAGACACAGGAAAGGAGAGGGAGAGAGAGAAACATCAATGTGAGAGCAGAACATCAATCTGCTGCCTCCTGCATGCCTCCTACTGGGTTCGAGCCCACAACTCGGGCAATGTCCCCTGACCGGGAATCAAACCAGCAATCTCCCAGCGCCTGGAATGACACCCAACCAACTGAGCCACACTGGCCAGGGCTCATATGATCATGTTTTATGACTTATTTACTCCCAAGGTATTTGTCATCCATAATTAGGTCAACTAAATTTTGACAAAAATTTGTAATGTTTACCTTCTAGTTCAGGGGTGGGCAAACTTTTTGACTCGAGGGCCACAATGGGTTCTTAAACTGGACCGGAGGGTCGGAACAAAAGCATGGATGGAGTGTTTGTGTGAACTAATATAAATTCAAAGTAAACATCATTACATAAAAGGGTATGGTCTTTTTTTTTTTTAGTTTTATTCATTTCAAACGGGTCAGATCTGGCCCGCGGGCCGTAGTTTGCCCACCCCTGTTCTAGTTCCTCAATATGTACATTCTAAACTACTCATGTAATCAAATGGTCTTCTCATACTTATCACATAAATGTATGAAAGCATGAATAAAACCTGGATAAAAATAAGGGGCCAAATGTTTGTTAGAGATTGTGATTATTCTCATACTTATTGCCTGCTTCCACAGTTAAATATCTGGATGATTAAATGTTATATGGCCATTATCCCATCAACATCCAACTGATGACATTTTTTCAAAAAGGGAATGAAATCCTCATGTCTGAATCCATTCCTTTAGGAGCTAATTTTGACCAAAGAGGGGAAATGAGAAATTCTGATGAGTGAAATTATTGGTACTAACATGGCTTACCTGAAGCAGTGATACTAATGGCACATGGGGAGACATTAGACAGCTCTGTCATGCTTGCTTCAAAGCCAAACTCCAAAGGCTTTATAGAAAATTCACAAATACCTGAAATTGGTTTCCATGATGACCCAGCCAGCATACTCGATATTGGCCTTCCCATACTTTGCCCCCAGCTAATCAGCTTAAAATAAAAAATAAAACACACCTTATTTTTCCTAATCTGTATACTTTATTTCCTTCCATCTCTTTTATAAATCTTGTTTTGCCTTTGTGTATTGACAACAGTGTAATAACAATCTCCCTCATGTCTAAAAGCACTTGCATGCAGACATCTTACTAAATATCTGAACTGTTCTTTGACAATGATGGCAATCTTCTACCTCTCTACTTAACAGGTGGAAGAGGATCTATTGCCTGGGTTCATCTAGCAAGTAATTGGAACAGCAAATTGGCTGTGCTTGGAAATGTTCATTGGGACTGAAGAGAAGGCCTAGTGAGTCCTATGGTATGAGTAGGATCATTCTCTAAAAATAATATGTAAGTCCCCTGCGATGTCTTCTGCAAATAAGAGGAACAAAAGTAATTGATAGGAATTATAATCATGTGTGGGCACA